TAAAATAAATTAATCACACTAAATTACATATTTTTCTGTTTACGTAATTATTATTGTCGTTTTTTATTAATAATATTATTAATAATCTTTCAAGAGAACGAGCTTTTCGGTCAAATGTTCAAAAAAATCAGTTTGCCAATTTTTTTAGCTTGAAATAAATGCGATTCTGATTAGAAACACTCGAAAAAAAAACTATTTTTGATTTAATTTTGTATTTTTTATAGTAAAACATTACAAGAACAAAATGCTAAAAAAGATAAAAATCACATGATTTTCGACACAATTTGGTACATTTTCGGCTTATTTTCGAAAAAAAAAACCTCGAAATAAATGTGATTTTGGTTTAAAAAAGCACTCGAAAAGAAAAAAAATGTCATATTAACTTTTAATTTAGTGATGGTTACTTTAAATTGTTTTTTGGAAACCCTTTTTTTTCATCTCGTCGAGTCGCCCATGACTAGATTCCTATTGTTGCTATGGAAACGTAGTGAAGTATTTTTATGTAACTATGGTGACCAAAAAAAGCAGTTCAAGCCAGTGGCGGGTATTCAAATTTTTATGTTTTCTGAATCATTGTTTTACAAAAATAAAATGCCACACACAATTGCAATTTTTATTAATTTCTTGGAGAAATTAAAAATAAGTAAGTAGTTGAATTTTTTATTGAAACGTCAAATTTAAATTTTCTCAAGCTCTTTTACTCAGAAAATCGCAACAATCTAAAATTTGCTTTTATTTATTTTATCATTAATTCTGTGTGTTTTTAATTGTTTGTTTCAAGTCCTCAAAAATCCCTTTTTCCGTCCTTGGCGAGCCGCACATGTGACAATTTTCACATAGTTTCCATGGAAACGTAACGAAATATTCATGTAACCATAGCGACAAACAAAAAAAGTCAGTGTCGGGTGTCATATTTGTTTGAAAATATTTTTCTTCCAACAATGTTTTTTATATTGTCACAAATTGAGAATTTTTTTTCGTTTATTTTTAGTGTTTAGTGACTCACTTGAGATCCGGTCAAAATGACAGGTTTTTGGAGCCCTTCCAACATAAATGATAAAGCAGACGATGTGTACGCTAACGTGTCTGTGCCGTGAAGTATGACAAAACCGTCAAAATTGTGATAATTTTTCTAAAAAAAAAAAAAAATACAAAAAAATCACAAAAAATTCTATTTACCCCAATGTCGCTGGCAATTCGAATCCAATCTTTCGACGACATATTACTCGAGTCCAGCAACGAATTGTACTCTTTCAATTCATAAAAAACAACATCGTTTCCGATTTCGCTGAAACAAACCGTTTTTTTCTGAAAAAAACTGAAACTGAAAAAACTTACGGCAAAACCAGCTGATTGGGGGCCAAATCCCCCACGAATTTCCTCCCCAAAACCGGATCATGCATTTGGGAATGAAATTTCAGTTTCTCTAAAAGTTTATTCGGTGAGGGAGAGTACACTAAAAATGCACAAAACCGGAAATATCTCGTTCATTATTGACAAATTTGATAAAACTACCATTATTTTTGTTACGCTCCATTCCGATCGTCCCTCCGACGTAAATCACCAAAACTTTTCTCATTTCGAAACACTGCAATTGCACAATATTGGACGATAACACGAAGAAATTTCCTCCCAAATAAAATAATTATTACTGTAATAATTGAGATAAATGAATAAATTTGAATAAATTATATACAAGCACATGAAAGTAATTGCGTCACTGAAATTAGCTCTTGACACTTCGAACGCTTCTTATCGAGTGATTATTTCATTGAAATTTCAATTTAACATGCGGTTATCTGATTCGATTCGTGGTTCTTGCAAATGCCGGGTTTGTGATGCAATATTGATCAAAAACTCAAATTTGAAAAAAAAACATTTGTAAATATTTAAACAGTGGAGAATAATATATTATATCACAAGGTAGGAAGAGGTTATCACCAATAAGACCGGAGTTATTGGCAATAGACCACAGAGGGTGCCAAAAATCGACCAAAATCTCGACGATAAAGGGTGCCAAAAATCGACCAAAATCTCGACAAAAAAAATTGACCAAAAAATCAAAAATTTTTGGTTCTTATGAAAAACTAGTACTGTATGTGAAATTTACCGGACAATACGCCTGTACAAACCGTTTTGACCTAGGACTCGTAGTTTTTGAGATATTATTTTTTTATGAAAAAAAATAAAATGGCTCTGTACCCGGAACCATAACCCGGAGCGACTTCCGGTTTGCGCCAATAAATAGATAATTTCAAGCTACTTTTAATGTTTTTTAGCTCTTTGCTCTAAATCTTATAGTTTCGTAGAAAAACGCGTTTAAAGTTTCACAATTTTTACAATTTTCACTTTTTGAACGGCGATTACGGCCAAACTATTAGACTTAGAGCAATCAGTCCAACTCCATCGTAATCAGCGTAAGAAAATCTATCGATTGAGGCCAAAGCCAAGTCGATATCTCGCAAAAAATTTGAATTTTTAAACGCCGATTACGGCGAAACTAAAAGAGATAGCGCAAAATAATTGGGAAATTCGTAATTAGCGCGTCAAAATCTATCGGATAAGATAGGTTTAAATTGAATCTGAGACATGTTCAAAAACACTAGTTTTTAAGGGGGGGGTGTTAACAATTTTTTCGTTTTTTTTATTTTGTAAATTGCGGCAAAACTGTGTCTCAATGACGTAACATTTTGACGTAAACCTATGTAAAATGTTCCGGGGAATCGATTGGCGTCAAGAAAACTGTAAAATTCGTAGTAGTTTTGAAGTTATAGTCGGATTTAAATTTTCGATATTTTTGACTTTATCAGAAATTTTCTCGATAACTATTCATCGTAGAGCACTGAACTTTTTAATATATGATAGAAAATTAAATTTTCTTTCCAACGGTACTAAATATAAGGGATTGTTGCCAATAAGTTCGGAGTTATTGCTAATAGAGCGCTCCGGGTGCCAAAAATCGACCAAAATCTTGACAAAAATCCAAAAAAATTTTAACTTTAAAATTGATCCATTTTACGTTTTTTACATTTCTAGAGGTCCTAAAGACTCAAATAACTGCATAAAATGTTATTGGATCAAGTTTCAAAAATTTTGAATTTTTTGAGTTTTTGAAGGTGAGCGGCAGTAAAATCGTAAAAATAATCAATTTACCTTAAGTCGTAAAAACGGTTGAAATATGGTTTTCTAGACTTAAAATTACGCGGTAAACACGATGTTCTGAGTCTTATAATTTCACTAAACACGCATCGTACGAAATAGTATATTATATCACAAGATGAGAAGAGTAGTGAAATAGTATATTATTCAAGGAGTGAATAAGTTGGCCATTTCTCACAAGTTTAATACTATAATTTTTTAACTTAAACTTCAATATAATATAATATTTATTATATTTCATTTCCTTTTTTTTGCTCCACAGTTAAAGTTTGTAAACGGCTGAGAAAAGTACAAAATCTTGAACACAATTAGAAAAATGTATTTATTATTTATTTCACATCTAGAATTTATCACATCATTAATTTTGGTCATTGAAACACTGATTGAGAACATCCAACAATTCCTGCGCCGACTTTGCCCAAGTTGAGGAAAAGTTGGCAAAATGTTGGCATTTAATCCCCCAACTGCAACTCGAATTCCCCTGGAATGTGTTTTTGAGCCTATTATCCAACACTGTGACTTTTTTCGAAACTTCAATCAACTCCATTCTGAATTTATGTAAAGTTTTTTCAGCCGCGAATCGACCGAGGAAAAACCCTGAAACGAATTTAATTTCATCACAGGTTAAACAAACAATTTAATTATCTCCAACGAGTTAATAAATTATGTCGATTGGCGAGGGATTTGTTGCACGCGAGGAGAAACAAACAACGGAAACGTCAAAAATAGATATTTTTTTTCGAAAATTGATTTTTACCTCCAACCACCGCGAAGAACGCCACCGTGAGGATGAAGCTGCAGCACAGTCTTTTGGTGACGAATTCCGACGTCGCGTTGGAGCTGCGACTCGTCTCGACGCTCAAAATTCGCTGCATTTTGCGGGAAAGACACTACAAGGGCCCCATGTCGACTGCGTGGTGGTCGGGGTGGTAGTGAACACCGGTTATTTTCGCCACGACAGTTATTTTTATTTTCGTGAATTTTCACACGTGTGGGGGAAAGCGCGGAAAATATAGCTGACGTGAGAGGCAATTCATTCCAAGTGTCATTCCCGGTTTATTTTAAAGCGTCACAACCTGTTTTACGAGACAAATTCCAACAAAAACGAGCATTTTATTTGAAAAAAAAATTGTTGGCGTATTTTGGGTTGCATAACCCAAAGTTGCACCTTTTCACCTTATTATTGATAACACAGTATAATTGCACAATTCAGTTATCAAAATTACAGTTTTTCAATGGCATACATGCAGTAAACAGATTAATTATTAAAATACAAAAATAATCGAAAAAGTAGTGTATTTTGGGTTGCATACACAACAAATGAATCTCTTAAATTACAAAATTGTTATTAATAAATTAATAATAAATTACATTACCTTAAGTTCATCAATAGTGTATTTTGGGGTGCATATACGACTTAATTAGTTATGAAACCAAAATTTGTGTTATGATTGAAAGAAATAAAACAATAAGTATTTTATTAAAAAAATATTTTTGACGTATTTTGGGTTGCCTGCACCACAATATCGATTTTATTGTTTTAAACCTAATGATTTGTAAATAAATTGTGTAATTCTGCTGTTTTAATGTAATTCTAGCTTTCTGATAAAAATCTGATACTAATTAAGTCTATATTTTATAATAAATCTAGTTAAAATTAAATGATCAGTATTTTGGGTTGCGTAATTAATTAATGAATTAGTTTACTTCCTAACTATTTTATATCTATTATTAATAATTAAATTTCACAGTTATGTTGTATTATTGGCATATGGACAATTTATGTAACTACTAATTCATCAATTTTTGTATTGTATTTTGGGTTGCATACACAATAAATGCAATTTGACTTTTTGACTCTAATATTTGCAACAGAATTGTACAGTTTTGTTACATTATTTAATTTCAATGTCTTAATAACAAAACTGTTATAATAATAACAAATATTATAATATTTTGCATTACATTAAGATTATCAGTTTAATAGTGTATTTTGAGTTGCCTACACACCAATATTAATTTTATTGTTTTTAACATTATGATTTGTAAATAAATTGGGCAATTTTAGCATTTTAATATAAATTTGTTATTAATTAAGTCTATGTTTTGTTATAAATGTATTTTCAAATTAAATACTCTGTTTTTTTAGTTGCATATTAATTACTTAAATATTTTACTTCTCAACTTTTTTATTTTTATTATTAATAATTAAATTGCACAGTTATGCTGTATTGTTGACATTTTATTTTTTTTGCAACTATTCGATAAAGATTGAAATAAATCGCTAAAAATTTTAGAGTGTATTTTGGGTTGCATACTCACGAATTGCAATTTGACTTTTGACCCTGATATTGATAATTAAGGTATGCAACTTTATTATTATTCTAATCTCTTAATAACAAAATTGTTATAAAATATAAATAGGCAATCACTGTAACTACTAATTCACCAAATTTTTGTCTTGTCTTTTGGGTTGCCTACTCTACTTAATTATTATAAAATTTAGAATTTAGTGCCTTTTGCTTTATAAATAAGCAAAAATTAAACAAACTGTTTTATTTAGTCATCACTGCACCATGTCTATTGTTTTATAAGAGTATTAAAATTAAATTAAAATAATTTAATTGAATTTTGTGGCGTATTTTGGGTTGCCTACGCGATCGTTTTGCAAAAGGTAAAAATAAGCTCGGTGGTGTTTTCGTAATTTTATTAAGCGATACAACGACCAACCACAACAACATTGCTTGTGCTCAAAGTATAAAATTATTTGTGTACAAAATTTGTCCCTACTTAACATTTAGACACAAAAAAAATAAAAAATCAACAAAGTTTAGGCAAAAATTTGAGCAAGATCCAAGTACTTCTTAATAGAAAAACATCAAATAGCGGTGTAACAAGTATCGAAAATAGCTCAAGCATTTTCCTTCATATCACAATACGTGTAAAAAGTCACTAAACTCCTCTACAGTGATTTTACGTATGAAAAATATTTATTTGGCAGCAGCTTTAGTTATAAGCAAAGTACATTATCACTGTTTTTCGTTGAAAAAATTGGAATGAACTTTGGTAATAAAAAAAATAGTCATTTCAAACAAAAACCAAGACCGTTAAAAACTAGAAAAAACCAACAATCTCAACCAAGAGTATTATTTTGACAAAATTACCAACATGTGTAACAAAATCAAGACAAGGAGGCCACTTTGACGCCCTTGCTCTTCGTCGATGTCTTATAAGGGGGCTTCAACCCGCACGATTTGGGCACATTGGGGATGCACTTCAACACACCCTGAAACCCCGTCCTGCCCCCATGCGTTGGCACTGTTTGCGTCGTCTGATGCACCAAAATCTCCTCCAAATCGCACTCCCTGTAAAAGGTTTGCGACTCGGCTACAGTTGGCTAAACCTAAAATCCCTACCTCGCATTCTCGAGAAACTCCCCATACAACTTGGCCGGAATCTGACTCGGCTTCTCCGTCTTATCAACAAACAATTCCGTCTCACGATTATACAAATACAAGAAATCATTCAATTGTTTTGCAACCACAGCCGCCCTATCCTTATAATCCAAACTCTGACTCGGTGTCTATAACACACTATTACCAACCTTGACACACTTAAACCCCTACAAACCTTGACTTGGTATGGCGTACGCAGATAACTTGATGCTTTTTGTAAAAACTTCAAAACGATTTCCATGTGATCCTCCTGATCCGGCCCTGCTGAAATCCTCCTCAAAACACACCCCAAATAATGACTAAATGTCTTCCGAGTTTCACTTTGCCTAAAAAAAAAAAAAAACTCAATAAAAAACAAACTGACATTTACTCAATTTACGTCATTTTTTTCCCACTCCTCAACATATCCATTACTTGTTTACGTAACTCAATCGAACGTCCCTCTTTGTGGATTTTTTGAGGTGCCAATGATTGTCGATGACCTTGACTCAATTGACGTTCGTAACGATCTTGACGCGCCAATGACGAACCTTAAATTTCGAAAATTTAAAACACGAGACATGGACGAGTATTACAAACCTGTATGACTATCCAATGAGAGATCGCGTTTCCGGTCCAATGAACTATATCTCAAATTCGATTTATCCATGAGTTTTGTATTCACCGGAGCGTCCGGAAAAAAATGAGTGTAGAGAAGCAAGTTGTAGTTGTGGGCACCGGAAAGGTTATAACTGGTGTAGGAGTTGTTGTTACCGGAAATCGGAATTCCGGTGGCCGGATCTAAAATTTGACAGCTGTCATTTTTTTTTTTCAAAAATTGGAAAAGTAGGCGGTCACGTGATAATAGTTGTTGTAAATTTATTGGTAAGGTCACATGATAGAACTTAACCAATTACTTGTGACACGTGATCTCCATCAACCAATTAAAAACAACTCAAAGTATTAAATTTCTCAAATAGTTTGATACTTGTTAAAAGTTGATCACGCGATTTTATGAAACGTGTTTTCGACTCTTATACAATTTGACAGTTGGCACATTTTTTTTTAAGTTCAAGTCACGTGACTGCAATTAACCAATTAACTGTGACAGATTGATGACACGTGATATCGATCGACCAATTGAAACAACCATAACTCGAGACAGTTGATCACGCAATCTAATCATAAAATTTTAACAAGATTTTTCGTTATATTTTTAGGTCACGTGATGGTAATTATGCAATAAAAATTACATTACTTTTTTTTGTTAAAAATTTGACAATGTATTTTGGGTTGCATATGAATTGCAATTTGACTTTGATAACAGTATTATGCAACTGTGTTGTATTATTTAAATTCTAATTTTTTCATAACAAAATTGTTATAAAAAATAAATAGACAATTCCTGTAACTACTAATTCGTGTATTTTGGGTTGCATACACAAGAAATGCAATTTGACTTTTTGACTCTAAAATTAGCAACAGAATTGTGCAGCTTTGTTACATTATTTAGTTTCGATGTCTTAATAACAAAATTGTTATTAATAAATTATAATATTTTACATTACATTGAGTTCATTACTTCAATTGTGTATTTTGGGTTGCCTACCCAACAATATTAATTTTGTTTTAAATCTTATTATTTGTAAATAAATTTGGCAATTTATGCCTTTTGATATAAATTAAGTCTATGTTTTGTTATAAATGTATTTTAAAATGAAATACTCTGTATTTTTGGTTGCATACTAATTACTTAATTATTTTACTTCTCAACTTTTTTATTTCTATTAATAATAATTAAATTGCAGTTATGCTGTATTGTTAGCATTTTATTTTTTATTGCAATTATTCGATAAAAATTAAGAGTGTATATTGAGTTGCATACACACGAATTGCAATTTGACTTTTGACCCTGATATTGATAATTAAGATATGCAACTGAATTATTTTTCTAATCTTTTGATAACAAAATTGTTATAAAAAATAAATAGACAATCACTAACTACAAATTCACCAATTTTTGTCTTGTATTTTGGGTTGCCTACCATATTTAATTATTATAAAATTTAGTGCATTTTGTTTGATAATCATGAAATATTCAAATAGAATATTTTTAGGTCACGTGATGGCACTTGACCAATCACCATCAACCAATAAATTATTTTAACAGTCATGCCAACACTTAAAAAACAAATTACCTAAATATTGCGAATATTTCGTCCAACTGTCAACAGCCGGAAAAATTCTCACAAAGCCACCTCTTCGTTCAAATTGACATTTGGCCAATTTAATGACTCGTGTTTCTTCGGGTGTGAGAGTTAAAGCACTCGATGATAACCGATCACCATGCATTGAAGAATTCTTTCTCGGTAAAGTACTACTCAAACCATCGGCCGAATGAACTCTTCGACACTAAAACGAAAAATAAAAATCCCTAAAGGACACAAAAATCCCCATACATGTCCAAGTTTGACACGACTACTTGATTTAATACTGGCCGAAGTGAGACTATTCGTCGTCGGTCTTAAAATCGGATCAACGCCGGGGATTCCCACAAGTGTCAAAAGATCGGACAACATGGCCGATTTTAATCGCACATCGAGGGGGCTGTCGCACCCCAATGACGGCGATAAATTCACTTCCAAAAGCCACGGTTTTAAATTCGCATCGATCAAAATATCAAATCCGTACAATTCTGCAAAAAAAAATCAATTTCTCAACCAAAAAATAAAAAAAAATTCCACTCACCGAAACAGTTGTTCGGATTCGGAACAAACATTTTACACGCTGAAATAATGGAATTCGCCGATGCCAGAATGGCCTTAATGACCAAATCCTCGACTTGTGACATTAAAATCGCCGTATTTTTACCCTCGGCTTTTAAATGTCGCAAAAGGGCACTCAAAGTCCATTTGTGGCCCACATTTTCGGCACTTGGGTCGTCCGATCTACGATTTTTTTTTTATGACTAATGAGAATTTTATCATTTGAGTGGTTTCGTGTGTGTTTTTGATTTAATCAAGTCGAGCACGAGAGTGAGTCATGAGTCAAGAAAAAGATTTATTTCATCGAGAATTGAGGGGAAATTTGTCGCGTGGATTTGTAACACGAAAGTTCGATATCTCGCGTGGGAAAGGTTGCAAGTGGTGTTTTATATTTTTCATTAAAAAAGTCGATTTTTTGCAATTCATTGTATGATGAAAGGTGACCTCAAAAAATTGCTACACGAGATGTAATTAGCGATTAGTGGCGTGCCTAATTTGAATAAAAAATTACAGTCAATTACATAGTGACACAAAAATTGTACCATGTGGTCCAGGTGATAAATAAATTTATGTCAAAAATATGGTTTGCAACTTTTTGTTAAAAGTAGGGTTTTTGTTATTTTCCGAAAAAAAATAAAGACTTTTTGTGTTCAATTTTGGTTATAGTAAAAAAAAATGTTTTAATTACTATTCAATGCAGCCAACTTACTCTCAAATAACAAAATTATTTAATGTTCATATAATTATAGATTTCATAAATAAATAAATTTACAATTTTTCGTTTTTTTTTAACCAAGGAATTTTTAATCGAAAATTTTGAATTATTAATGCAACTAATTACAGAATTAGAAACTTTGGACGATTTTACATAATAACAATAATTTTGATTAAATTTGACCTTGAAAAAATACAAATGCTCTTATCGATAAACGCTTTGATACTTAAAAAAAAATACAATTGTTGGACGATATCTCGAAAACTGCTACTGATAATAAAAAATGAATTACATATTCGGAATCCTTGGATAATTTTGCATAAGGAAAGTCAAAATTCGGTTCACTTTTTTAATATTTAGTGAGAAAAAAATTTAATATTCTAGAATCGGACCAGATTTTAGAATATTAAGTTTAGAAAAAATTGCTAAATTTTGTCCGATATCTCGAAAATTATTAGTGACAAGTAAAAACTAATTAAATAATTTTTGGACGATTTGACATCAATCATTTTGATTCAATTTAATGATTTTTGTGGCCTTGAGAAATTATAATTTCAACACTTGACCAGAAACGGTTTGACGAATTTCATAAAATTTTGGCCAAAATCTCAAAAACTATTAAAAATACATAAAAACCATTTACATATTCGAAATCCTTGGTAAATTTTACACAAGAAACATCTAAATTCAGTTCAATTTTTGATTTTTATGTGAAAAAATTACATTCTAACACCAGACTGGAAGATTTCAGAAAATTTTAGAAAAAAATGTTAAATTTTGGCCGATATCTCGAAAACTACTACTGATAAGAAAAAACTAATTACATATTCGTAATTCTTGGATGATTTTGTATAAGAAAATCAAAATTCGCTTCAGTTTTTTTGATGTTGGTGACTGAAACATTAAAATTCTAGGACCAGCCTAGATTTAAGAAATTTTAGAAAAAAAATTGCTAAATTTTGGCCAATATCTCGAAAACTATTAGCAACAGGTAAAAATTAAATAAATAATTGAAATCCTTGGACGATTTTACATCAAGAATGTCTCATTTTGATTCAATTTAATCATTTTTGTGGCCTTAAGAAATTATAATTTCAACACACCAGAAACGGTTTGAGGAATTTCATAAAATTTTGGCCAAAATCTCAAAAATAGATAAAAACCAGTTACATATTCGAAATCCTTGGTCAATTTTACACAAGAAAAATCTAAATTCAGTCCAATTTTTTGATATTTATGTGACAAAATAAAATTCTAACACCAGACTGAAAAATTTCAGAAAATTAAAAAAAAAAGTGTTAAACTTTGGCCTATATCTCAAAAACTACAAATGTTAGGAAAAAAATAATTACGTATTCGAAATCCTTGGATGATTTTATGTAAGAAAATCAAAATTCGGTTCAATTTTTTCTATTTTGGTGACTGAAAAATTAAATTCTAGGACTGTCCTAGTTTTCGAAAAAATTGCTAAGTTTTGGCCAATATCTCGAAAACTACTAGTGATAATAAAAATCTAATTACATATTCGGAATCTTTGGACAATTTTACATAAAGCAAAAAAGAAAAATTGTGATTCAAAATAACAATTATTATGACCTTGAAAAAATATAGTTCAAACATTTGACGAATTTTACAAAAAAACATTTCGGTCAAAATTCAAAATTAATAATAGACAAAAAGTGATTACATATTCAAAATCCTTGAACACTACTATGAAAAACAAAAAAAATCATCTAAACACAAATCGATTTATTTTAAAACAAACGAAAAGATTACGTTATTTCGTAATTATTTTTCTTCACTCATAAATCACATGTGGCAAACAAAAACATCAATTTCGCAGCATTGAAAATATTTACTTGAAACTAATTTGTTGTAAAACTACGAAAATAATCGATGCCAACGACATGACTAATCCAAAAACCACATTTCCTCCCAACAGGAAATAAATTAATTATTAATTTAGTCAGTTGGGAAGAAAAATTACGTATGCATCACGGAAATAAACATCATAATTAATCCCTCGAATGTAGGTGATACAAGAGGCGACCAAAAGCCACCGAGGGCATTAAAATATCTATTTATTCAAGTGATAACAACAATTTATCAATCATACTTACTTGACATAATCACTATGATACTTATTTATGCTATAATTACACAGATGCATACAGGGATTCCACAGCTGTTTATGACTAGAATCGTATTTGACAGTTGCAAATCTGACTAAACCTTCTTCATAAATATAAATAAGCAAAGGATCAAATGACGTAACAGCGACATATAATCGCAAATCACATTTATGACCAGCGACAAGTAATGGTCGCGATATATATTTAGCCACAACGACTGGTTCTTCCAGAGGCACTTGATTTGGTGTTTCAACAATAAAAATCCCTAAAATTTTGATTTAAAAACACTAAATACAGGCTGTTCCGTCTAAACTCCACATTAAAAGTATTGGGAGTTGGAATAATCATATTTGTTTGCAAATTGGTACTTAGCCATAATGTATTAAGTCCTCCTAAATGAAAATATTTTCAAGATGGCGGCACTTCCGCTTATACCGGAAGTCGGTCTTAACTTTCTTATTTTAAATGGAAAGCTATATTTTTTACTGCGTTTTTGGATTAATCGGGTTATTTTAAGGGAGTTTTCATCAGCTTTCCCTATACCCAAATTTAGCCGTTTGAGTTTTTCAAAAAATTTTGGTTCTGCACCTTCCAATTTAAAAATCGGTAACTCTGCCATTTTTTTAAATTTTGAATTCGTTTTTTTGGCGTTTGAAAGAGAAAGTTTAGATCTTTCTTCCGGTGTTTTCAAATTTTGAAAAAAAAAAATTAACAAACTATAAAATTTTAAGGTTACTTTTGTAATAATTCAAATACCCATAACTCAAATTTTCCAAATGAAATACCCCAATTTTTATTTTACTAAATGGAAGAGAATTTAATTCTGCATCGATCTGTATTAACATTCCCTATACTAAAATTTAATAATTTTTAAGTTATGGTGACTTTTTGTTAAGACTGTCGAAAATCTATTACTAGTCACACCCATTTTTGCATAGTTTGCTATGGAAATCAAAAATGCCAAAATTGTTTCTCAATAAACGTCGACAGTGACTTATTATTTAACAAATAGTGCCAAAATATGGAGAGTCAAAACTACTCAAACTTAGATTTAATTAATTTATTTTGTATTTATGGAGAGTGTAACAAAATTATGATGTCGTTCATTAAACAAAAATAAATTTTTCTCACTTGTTAGCTTTAAAAAATGATCGCAATAATAATTAAGTTTGCATAACTTTGATTCTTCATATTTTGGCACAATTTGTCAAATAGTAATTTACTGTTGACGTTTGTTTAGAGAAAATTTTGACATTTTTGATTTCCATAGCAAACTATGTGAAAATAGGTGTGGCTAGTAGTAAATTTTCTGTAGTCTTAAAAAAAAGTCCACTTAAATATTATTAAATTTAGGTATAGGAAATGTTAATACAGATCAATGCACAATTAAATTCTCTTCTATTTAGTAAAATAAAAATTGGGATATTCCATTTGAAAAAAGTGAGTTATGAGTATTTGAATTGTTACAAAAGTAACCTTAAAATTTTGAGATATGTTATTTTTTTTCAAAATTTGAAAACACCAGAAAAAGGATCTAAGCTTTCTCTTTCAAACGCCAAACAAACGAATTCAAAATCTTAAAAAATGGCAGAGTTACCGATTTTTAAATTGGAAGGTGCAGATCCAAAATTTTTTGAAAAACTCAAACGGCTAAATTTAGGTATAGGGAAAGCTGATGAAAACTCCCTTAAAATAACCCGATTAATCCAAAAACCCACTAAAAAATATACCTTTCCATTTAAAATAAGAAAATTGAGACCGACTTCCGGTATAAGCGGAAGTGCTGCCATCTTGAAAATATTTTCATTGAGCAGAACCTAAACAATTATGACTATAGACAAAATTTTAGATAAATATTATTGTTAGAACTCCCAAAACTTCTAATGTGGCGTTTTGACGGAACATCCTGTATATCAAACCCCTCACCTCGTCCCCTACTCGACGCCACTGGCTTCACAATCCACGGCCCCTTGATTCGATGATGTGTCGAACACAATTCACCAAATTCAGTTGGCATTACAAAAGTTTGTGGAATAAAATCGAAATGTTTGTAGCCTTTGCAATGTTGCATTCGTTCGATATTTTTATATAAACGATCTTTTCGTGTCAATTCATAGGAACGTGGAAAATGATTGACTCGTTGATGGGGGGCTAAAGATCTTAAAGCACCCGGTTTTGGATGTGAACCCGTCCATAATAAATTAAAATCGGATGAATTTGGTGGAACTTCAACAATTCCATGACATTCTAATAATTTTGAAAGGAGTTTTGTTTCGGCTTGAAGTACTTTATAAGTGATGTGAAGTTTATGACCGGGTTTTTCTTGTATGGATTTTTGAGTGCAATTCGCCAATGCTGAACTTTTAAATACGAGAGTTGCATGACGATTGCCTAGAGTGCCGCCGAGGAGCCATGTGTCGGGGGGCACTGTCGGTTCTTGCGTTATCACTTTGCTAAGTTGAGAAATAAATTCTTCATTGAAGTGGAATTAAGGGGAATTTAGGAAAGACCAAAATTGTTCAGGACACTGTATTTCCGAAAGAAAGCTTTTTAGAATGTGTGGTTGCAATTTTTTGCAATATTAAGAAAACATCCTGTATAACAACAAAAATCTAAAATTAGGTGAAAACGTGAAAAACTTCTTTCTAAATTGGATTTTTAGAGGGAAAATCGCGTGAGAATCATGATTGCGTTCTTCTACAAGTAGTTTCCGTGATATTTTGTCGATTCTTGTTAGTTTCCGGGCGAAATCCGGGTAACCGGAGCACCTCGAAATCAACAGTTTCTTCCGTAAAATGAATAAATTTTAATAATCGACAAAATTTACTTTTGTTTACCTTGTAGAAGCCATAATTTTCAATAAAAAAGTCGAAAAATGTTGATTCTAAAACAGAGATTTTTCATAAATTTTGGTCAATATCTTGGAAACTATTGATTATTAATCAAAAAAAAAAAAACACAAAATTTGATTTTGCATAAAAAAACTCTAATTTCGTTTAAATTTAATGACTATGAAGTCCGATTTGACAAATTAAAAAAAATATATAACAATTTTAACAAATTTCTCGAAAAATAATAAAAATAGGCATATACTGTATACATATTCGGAATTCTTGCACATTTTCGCTTCGGAAAAATTAAATTTCAATTCAATTTGGTGATTTCTATGGCCTTGAAAAAAAATTCCTTACTACTTTTTTTGTCTGATATAATTTTTTTCAATTCTTTTTTTAAATTAAACATAAGGTTAAATAATTACAAAAAACCTTGAGTGATACCTGTAGCAACACAAGTATTTGAAAAACCCGATTTCTTTCCCTACCGAGCCGCCCATGTCAATATTTCCTATGGTTGCTATAGAAATGCACTGTAACCATGGAAACGAAAAATAAAAAACGTCATAGTAACAATAGAAAATTCAGTCCAGTGGCGGGTGGTTAATTTTAGGTAAATTTTTCACCACTTAAAAAAAGACAAATGAGTTGTTTTTTGATAGTAAAATGCCATTACTTTGAAAGATAGGGTGTTTTTAGAAAAAAAAACATGCTATAAGCATTTGAAAAAGATTATAATTCTACAATTTAATCAATTTTATAAAAAACAGGAATTTGGAAAATTTTTTCGAAAATGATTAATAATAGAGACACGTATTCAAATCCTTTGAAATTTTGCTTACGAAAAATCTATTTTCGGTTAAAAACACAAAAAGTCGAAAAATGTTGATGATTCTAAAACGGAGATTTTTCACAAATTTTGGTCGATATCTTGAAAACTATTGATTATTGACCAAAACTAATCACAGAATTCGATTTTGCATAAAAAAACTATAATTTCGTTTATATTTAATGACTTCATATTTCATAGCCAATTTGACAAATTAAAAAAAAAGAACAATTTTAACAAATTTCTCGAAAAACATTAAAAATTGGTAAATACTGCATATTTATTCGAAATGCTTGCACAATTTTGCTTATGAAAAATACAATTTCAATTTAATTTGGTAATTTCTATGACCTTGAAAAACAATTTCCTTACTACTTTTTTTGTCTGAGATCATTTTTTTAGTTGTCCTTTCCAAGTAAAATAAGGTTAAATGGTACAAAAAACCTTCAATATCAACACAAGTGTTTGAAAAACCCTTTTTTCTTTCCCTACCGAGCCGCCCATGTCAAAATTTCCTATGGTTGCTATAGAAATGCACCGTAACTATGGCAACGAAGAATAAAAAACGTCATAGTAACAATAGAAAATTCAGTCCAGTGGCGGGTAGTCAATTTTAGATAAATTTTTCACCACTTAAAAAAAGACAAGTGAGTTGTTTTTTGATACAAAATATCATTATTTAGAAATACAGAGTGTTTTTTGTAAAAAAAAAACATGTTATAAACAGGAATTTGAAGAAATATCTCGAAAATGATTAATAGAGAAAAATTAGTCACGTATTTGCAATCCTTTGCCAATTTTGTTTAAGAAAAATCTATTTTCGATTCAATTTCTCGATTTAAGTGACCTTGATAAATTGACAAGACAAAAAATTTGAGTAAGGATGTTTGATTTCTGTGACCTTGAGAGTCGAATTGTCTTATTTTATTCGATTTTTATAAATTTTGAACCATAATTGTAAAAAAAATGTTGAGTACGGTCCTGGCGCAACAAAACACACTCGTAATCCATTAATCTCAGTGCAAACATTACGTCACATCAGACTCAATAAATCACTGAAACGTCTAATTAACCGACAAATTTAATTCATTTCGGCCAACTTTGATGCAATTTAAAAAAACTTTGAATATAGTAGGCGACGTTACGAACAGTTGCCTATCGAACCCTCGCCTACTACACTTTTTTTCTCTATGAATTATCGATTTTAAATCACAATAAGTGATAAAAGATTCAATTTTCATTCCTTAATAACGAAAAAAAACTTTCCGTTTATCCAAATTCCAGTCACGATTATTTTTACGAATTCAAAAATGCGACATCACGATTTTGCACCCAAATATAGCCACAATTTTACGTGTCTTTGGACAAATTAGGAAAAAAACCGTTACAATCGATTGCACAAGAGAAAGTTACGAGTTTTTGTCCCCTCGACCATAAATCTAGGCCTAGAAAACAGTAAACCTGAACAAATTTGGTTTTTCCTGTCGCAAACACCAAAAACCTTTGGTCGGACGCCGCAAGGGGGCTGTCGAAAAGCATGCACTGGGACGAGGCATTGTCAAGGGAGTCTTCGGGGAAGTCGGGGGGGCGCCAGGAGAACACGATAGGCTTGGACGCGATACTGGAGACACACTGAGCGTGAAAAGGCCCCCACGGCCCCAAAACTCACCGATTTAACTCAACGTGGGGCAACTTGAGCGACTCCGAGCTGCTCGCACTCGAGCTTGATATCTCGTCGGCGGTGTCTCCGATGCTTCGTTCCATCTTGCTTGAGTAACTGAAACTGAAGAACGAAAAAACCACAAAAATTAGGTTAGACTTTCGGACAAATATGGGCATGATTTTTAAATGAAACTGGCGAAAGTGTGACACAAACTTGACTATTTGTACTCACATTTGGGTCCGTTACGCCGAAAATTACTTATTCATAGTATTTTGGATGATTCAATTTCACTTCAAATTTTGCACTTTTCAAAGAGACGCCATTTTGTTTATTTTTTCAAAACGCGGCCGGTAATGCAGAGAGCACACCTGTCAAAATTGCATTACATAACCTCAAAATGTCGCTTTTTAGCCCCCGTTGGTTGCGGAATTTCATCAGAAGACACACGAACCAGATCCCCGAAGACCGGGCCTTCGTGTGGAAACAACGCCTGTCCCTGTTCTACATGTTTGTCTCGTGGAACGCGTTCGGTTTCGTCTTGTACCAAGTCTACAAGGGGAACTCCGATTGGGCCCGAAAATACAAATCTGAGGAGGAATTGGCCCTAACTCCGGGTAAATACACACTTATTAATAAAATAAAGCGTTTATTTGTGTCTTTAGCACAACAGTGGGCCCGCACCTTGGGCATCAAGGAGGCCAAAGTGATGCGAGTCTCAGGCCTACAAGTCACTAAATACGAAATCAATGAAGCGATACAAGAATAAATAATCACATTTGATAGAATTAATACAAAAAGGAACATTTTATTGACCAGTCACAGCCCCATTTCTACTACTCCTAAACTTCTCCATTTCGACGAGCAACGCCGACCTGTAGGTCTCATACCGCATCACAATATTCTGCAACTCTTGCTTGTAAAGCCGCGTCAACATTCCATTGTAACAGTCCAAGTCTTGCAACCGGAACATGTCCCATTTCAATTTATGGTCCAAATCGGGACTCGCTAAAAACCCCAAATAAATCACCAAAAAAAACATCATCACACTTTACCATTAAAATAGACGTTGAGCCAATGGGGGATCTCCTCCAAGAGGTAGGGGTTCGCCGGCACTAGGACGCTGTGGGGCTGGTAATGCGTCGTCCTCGGGGGGTTGAAATACCGCACCTCCGGCTGGTAATTGTAACAAGGCACGAGACAGGGGTGCTCGTATTGAGCTTGTTTCGTAATGTGACTGCAATTAAATTAATTTGAATTGAGTTGAATTTGGGGGGAAACGAACTTGACGTAGTAAATGCCGTAGATGGGGGAGTGGACACATTGCCATCCCGTGGGGAGGCCCTCGCGCTCCAAGGGGTGCGACCAATGGGTCGTTTTCGTGTTGTGGTCGATGTAGTATTTGCGACCGCGGAGGGTGTAGTCCACGGACCAGCCGGGGGGCAAAGGGAGCTCCTCAGATTGATCTAAAATAAAACGAGGTGTATAGTTGGTTGCCTAGTTAACTACGAGTTTTTTAATTAAAATTGAACAAAATTCGATATATTTTGGTGAAAAATCAATGCATTGTTTTTAAAAAGATGTTTACAGGTAATAATAATGATTATTGTGCAAAAAAAAAGTTTTGGGTTAGGCAACCAGTCATTCAATGTGTATGATTGCTTGCATACTCACAAATTGTAATATTAATTTTTTAATAAAATTCAATGCACTATTGTAATAAATAATTAAAACGAGGTGTTCCACACAATGTTACAAACTTTAAAAAAAATTGCCGATATCTCAAAAACTATTACAAATAGCTAAAAACTAATCAATTAGTTGAAATAAATTTGATTCAATTTGTTGATTTTTGTAACTTGAGCAAAAAAATACACAAGTGTGTACAATGGGTTGCATGCACAAATAGGTCAAAAATTGAAACGTACTTAATTTTTTGTGAAAAGCAACGAAATAAGGAGTTATAAAAATTAATAAATAAGAAAACGCCTCAAAATAATATTAATTAAAAATATTCTAAGACTAGGCAACCCATTATACGACTCAAATTGAGTACCACGTATAATTAGTTGCATAACTGATTACATTTTTATTATTGTAAATAGTAAAATTGATTTATTTTCGTAAAAAAATCAATAAATAACTGAAAATTTATCTTTAAGACACTGTCGGTGGATCAGGCAACCAGTTATACAGCCAAACACCTGTTAAAAAAATTTTGAAAAAAATTGAAAAATTCCCGACACAATCCAACAAACTATATAAGATGGTTAAAAAATAATGATATAGCAAAATCATCCAATTTGTTGAATACTGTGATTTTAGAAAAAAAAATTAGAGACGCCTGCATGGTGGGTTGCATACACAAGAACTTCTAAAAAATTAAATAACCCCTAAATTTTTAACAAAAAGCAACAGAACAAATAAATTATAAAAATTGATAAATAGAAAAACGTGTCGAAAACAATAAAAATAATAATTTCATTAATTATAAATAAAAATGTCTGTGACCCTCATTTATAATTAATTCAATAATAATGTAAATTTTTATTATGGTAAATAAAAATAAAAAAGTAAAAAAAATAGAAAAATCGATTCAGTTGTAGATAAAACAACAATAAATAATTGAAATTTATCAGTAAAGATTCCCCAAAGGCAATAATAACAATTATTTCATAATATTTAAAACACACATTTGCTGGATAGGCAACCAATTATACAGCAAAACACCTGTCAAAACAAAATAAGAATTAAAAAAAAACTGAAAAATTTGAGAAAAAATCTCAAAAACTATTATAAAACTAATAATACAGCCAAAATCCCCAGACAAGTTTCCATCAACATATCAAAAAGTTCAACTTGTTGATTCCTGTAATTTTAGAAAAAAAATAGAGGCGCATACATAGTGGGTTGCATACACAAAAACTTCTAAAAAATTAAACAATCCCTAAATTTTTTAACAAAAACCAACAACAAAACAAATAAATTAGAAATATTAATAAATAGAAAAACGTCTCTGAGACAATAAAAATAATAATTTCAATAATAATAAAAAAAATGTATATGACCACCATTAATAATTAATTAAATAATTATCCAAATTTGTAAAGTTGTAAATAGAAAAATTTGTTTTCATAAAAAAACAAATTATATTTAAAGTTAATCAACACAAGACGCCCCAGAGTCAATAACAATGATTATTTGTTAAAATATAACACATTTTGTTTGCGGGTTAGGAAACCAGTTATACAATCAAACACCAGTCAAAAATAAAAAAAAAAACAAAAAAATCGGAAAATCCTGGACAATATCGCAAAAACTAGTATACATAATTAAAAACTAATCATATAACTGAAACCCCAAGGCAAGTTTACGTTAAAATATCAAAAAGATCGTTCCAAAAAAAGAGTGTATAATGAGTTGCATACACAACTACTTCAAAAACTGAAAAAATTGCATAATTTTTAACAAAAAGCAGCAAAACAAATAATTGTAACAATAAATCAATAAGAAAACGTCTCAAAAATATTAAAACAATTATTGTCAAAAAATAAACCTTAAGCCAGACAATCGTGTATAATGAGTTGCATACCCATCAATTTTATAATCATAAATCACAAAATTCACTCCACTTTCATCATAAAAATAACAACAAATAATTGAGATTAATCAATAAAAATGCCCCAAAGGTAATAGTAACGATTATTTGATTAAAACATAACTGTGTTTGAGGACTAGGCAACCAATTATACACCCAAATACCTGTGCTGCTCTCATTGCGCCCCAGAGAGTGTCTCAAATGATGTGCAAGCGATTCCCCATAAGTCATGCCCTGTAGCGGATTAGAGTACCGTTCAGCCCCCGCATTGCTATAAATGGGGGTCGTGTCTTGGTTTTTATGTGCCCCATCAGTGTTTTGATAAATCGGCGAATTCCGATTATTATAATTGTTATCTTGAGTGTTTAATGGATAGATTTGATCGATTTCGACGTAATTCGCATTCTGTAATAAAAAAAACTCGTTAAAAACCCCACTCTGGGGGGCCCTAATCACCGAATTGTCACTGTAAGAGGCATTGAAATGCTGATTCATGTAGATGTGTTGGGGGGCCACTGCCGAGCTGGGGGTATACAGCGAATTGTTCTCATTGGTGGACAAATTCGCGAACCTGGTGGCCAAATCCGGGACCGAGGAGCTGGGGGTGTACTTCCCCTGGTGGGCCCCCAACCCCGAGCTGATGATAGTCTTCTGGTTCCCGAACTTCTGCACGGTGATGCTGCTCTGGTTGGCCCCCCTGGTGAGGCTCGCGGGCAGCGATTGGCGCCCCTGGCTCGAGAGGCGGCGCTTGGGCTCCGTGGTCCACACGTTGATGACTGCGAAACGGGTTTGAGGTTAGGCGAAAAGTGTCAAAGTGACTCACTTGGCATTTCGGGTGGGGTGTCTTTTTTCACGTATTTGCCAACAACCCCTTCCTTGATCGTTTTCAAGTCCTTGTTTTTGCGCGAGAGCATGGTCAGGTGGTAGGCTATTTTCGGGCGAAGTGAGGGGGCTAGTCGGTGGAGGTGTCTCAAGCGATGGATGGGACGTTCAAGTTCGCTGATTTCATTGCAGGATGGTTTGGAGGTATTCGTGTCTTGTCATGGGGGTTATCACTTGTAAACACTGCATTTTGGTTGTAACAGAAATTCCATTGTTTACAAATTCACATCACCAGATAAGGGGCATGCGCATGGGGTGGATGGGTGGGGGGACATTCCATCGTGTATTTTGGGTTGACTAACGTTCAGGGGATTTTTCAAGATTTTTTTTATTTTTCGTTCTCAGTTTATTATTATTTATAATATATAATATTATTTAATAGTAACAGTAAGTATTCAAAGAGCGCATTTCTGCGTGTAGTATATGCAACATTTTTTCTACCCTGTCAGTACATTTGAAGTTAAAAATTTTGACAAATTTTGGCCCATATCTCGAAAACTGTTACATAAAGAAACTCTGATTTCGATTCAATATAATAATTTTTGGGGCCTTAGAAAATTATAATTCAAACTTTTGACGAATTTTGGTCAAAATTTCAAAAACTATTAATAATTAGTAAAAACCAATTACATATTTAGAATTCTTGGACAATTTTGTCTAAGAAAAATCGGAATTCGGTTCAATTTTTTAATTTAAGTCACCTTGAAAAATTAGAATTTTAGCACCGATCTAGAAACGATTTTACAAATTTTAGAAAAAATTGCTAAATTTTGGTCGATAAACAAAATCTAATTACATATCCGGAATCCTTGGACCCTTTTGCATAAGAAAAAGTTACTTTTCGTCCAAATTGTTAATTTCTGTGAAAAAATAAAAATGCAGGTCTTGTCGATGAATTTTGGTCGATATCTTAAAAACGACTAATGATAAGAAAAAATTAATTACATATTCGGAATCCTTGGATAATTCTGCATCAGAAAATCAAAAATCGGTTCATTTTTTTGATTTTGGTGACTGAAAAATTTTAGGACCGGACTAGATTCAGGAATTTTAGAAAAAAATGCTAAATTTTGGCCGATATCTCAAAAACTATTAGCGACAAGTAAAAACTAATTAAATAATCAAAATCCTTGGTTGATTTTACATTGAGAATCTCTCATTTTGATTCAATTTAATGTTTTTTGTGGCTATGAGGAATTATAATTCGAACACTTGACAGGAAACGGTTTGACAAATTTCATAAAATTTTGATCTAAATCTCAAAAACTATTAATAATAGACAAAAACCAGTTACGTATTCAAAATCCTTGGTCAATTTTACAGAAGAAAAAATCTAAATTCAGTTCAATTTTTTGATGTTTATGTGAAAAAATAAAATTTTATCACCAGACTGAAAGATTTCGAAAAATTTTAGAAAAAAATGTTAAATTTTGGCCGATATCTTAAAAACTACTAATGATAAGAAAAAAATAATTACATATTCGGAATACTTGAATCTTTTTGCATAAGAAAAATTTACTTTTTTTCCAAATTGTTAATTTTTGTGACCTTGAAAAATTAAAAATATAACTCTTGTCAATGAATAATTTAACAGTTAAAAAAATGACAAATTTTGGCTGATATCTCGAAAACTACTAATGACAAGAAAAATCTAGTTACATTTTCGGAATCCTTGAATAATTTTGCATCAAAAATCTCTAATTTTGATGCAATTTAATGATTTTTGTGGCCTTGAAAAATTATAATTCGAACACTTGACCAGAAAAGGTTTATCAAATTTCATAAAATTTTGGCCAAAATCTCAAAAACTATTAATAATAGACAAAAACCAGTTACGTATTCAAAATCCTTGCTCAATTTTACTCAAGAAAAATCTAAATTCAGTTCAATTTTTTGATTTTTATGCGAAAAAATAAAATTCAAACATCATCTAATGATAAGAAAAAACAAATTGCATATTCGAAGTCCTTGAATCTTTTTGCATAAGAAAAATTTACTTTTCGTCCAAATTGATAATTTTCGTGTCCTTGAAAAATTAAAAATATAACTTTTGTCACTGAATAATTTGACAGTTAAAAAAATGACAAATTTTGGCCGATATTTTGAAAACTAATAATGATAAGAAAAAAACAATTACATATTCGGAATCCTTGGATAATTTTACACAAGAAAAATCTAAATTCAGTTCAATTTTTTGATTTTTATGTGAAAAAATAAAATTCCAACAACAGACTAGAAAATTTCAGAAAATTTTAGAAAAAAATATTAAATTTTGGTCGATATCTCAAAAACTACTAATGATAAGAAAAACTATTTAGATATTCGGAATCCTTGAATCTCTTTGCATTAGAAAAATTTACTTTTCGTCAAAATTGTTAATTTCTGTAACCTTGAAAAAATAAAAACATAACTCTTCTCAATGAACAATTTGACAGTTAAAAAAATGAAAAATATTAATGACAAGTCAAAATTAATCAAATAATCGAAATTCTTGGGCGATTTTACATCATGAAAAATCTAAATTCAGTTTAATTTTTTGATTTTTATGTGAAAAAATCAATTTCTAACACCAGACTAAAAAAATTCAGAAAATTAAAAAAAAATTGTTAAATTTTGGCCGATATCTCGAAAACTACTAATGATAAGAAAAAACTAATTACATATTCAGATTCCCTGAATCTTTTTGCATTAGAAAATTTTACTTTTCGTCGAAATTATTAATTTCTGTGACCTTGAAAAATTGAAAATATAACTCTTGTCAATGAATAATTTAACTGTTAAAAAAATGACAAATTTTGGCCGATATTTTGAAAACTACTACTGACAAGAAAAAACTAATTAGATATTCGGAATCCTTGAACAATTTTGCATCAAAAATCTCTAATTTTGATGCAATTTAATGATTTTTGTGGCCTTGAAAAATTATCATTCGAACACTTGATCAGAAACTGTTTGAGAAATTTAATTTTAAAATTTTGGCCAAAATCTCAAAAACTATTAATAATAGATAAAAACCAGTTATATATTCGAAATCCTTGGTAAATTTTACACAAGAAAAATCTAAATTCAGCTCAATTTTTTGATTTTTATGTGAAAAAATAAAATTCTAACGCGAGACCAGAAAATTTTATAGAAAATTTTTTTAAATTTTTGCTGATATCTCGAAAACTACCAATGATAAGAAAAAAAAATAATTACACATTCGGAATCCTTGAATCTTTTTGCATAAGATAATACAATTTCGGTTGAACTTTTTTGATTTTGGTGGCTGAAAAATTAAAATTCTAGGACCGGCCTAGATTTCAGGAATTTTAAAAAAAATTGCTAAATTTTGGCCGATATCTCAACAACTATTAGTGACAAGTGAAAAGTAATTAAATATTCGAAATCCTTGGTCAATTTTACATCAGAAAAATCTAAATTCGGCTCAATTTTTTGATTCTTATGTAAAAAAATAAAATTCTAACACCAGACTGGAGGATTTCAAAAAATTTTAGAAAAAAAAATTAAATTTTGGCCCATATCTCGAAAACTACCAATATTAAGAAAAAACTAATTTTATATTCGGAATCCCTGAATCTTTTTGCATAAGAAAAATTTACTTTTCGCCCAAATTGTTGATTTCTGTTACCTTGAAAAAATAAAAATAAAACTCTTGTTAATAAATAATTTGACAGTTAAAAAAAATGAGAAAATTTGGTCGATATTTTGAAAACTACTACTGATAAAAAAAAGCTAATTACATATTCGGAATCCTTGGATAATTTTGTACAAAAAAATTAAAATTCTTGGACTGGCCTAGATTTCAGGAATTTAAGTAAAAATTGCGAATTTTTGGCTAATATCTCGAAAACTATAAGCAACAAGTAAAAATTAATCAAATAATCGAAAACCTTGAATAATTTTACATTAAAAATCTCTTATTTTGATTCAATTTAATGAATTTTGTAGCCTTAACAAATTATAATTTCAACACTTGACCAGAAACGGTTTTTGACGAATTTCATTAAATTTTGACCAAAATCTCAAAAACTATTAATCATAAATAAAAACCAGTTACATATTCGAAAACCTTGGTCAATTTTACACAAGAAAAATCTAAATTCAGTTCAATTTTTTGATTTTTATGTGAAAAAATAAAATTTTAACACCAGACTGAAAGACTTCAAAAAATTTCAAAAAAAATTTTAAATTTTGGCCGATATCTCGAAAACGACTAATGATAAGAAAAAACTAATTACATATTCGGAATCCTTGAACAATTTCGCATTAAAAAAATCTAATTTCGGTTCAAAGTCTTGCTTTCTGTGCTCTTGCAAATTTTTTTGAAATTTTCGCATATTCAGAACCCTTAGACAATTTTGGTTACGAAAAATTAGTTTTCGGTTTAATTTCAGAAAAAAAAATCTCAATAAATAAAAACCCTCCCCAATTGCAGGCCTCTGTGGGGTGGTGGTGGGCCACCCCCTCGACACGATCAAAGTCCGCCAACAGAACTTCGGCACCAACCTCTTCGTGGCGATTTCGCGCACCTTCCGTCACGAGGGCCCCCCCGGCTTCTTCAAAGGGATGCTCTGCCCCCTGCTCACCATCGGCCCCTCCAACGCCATCCTCTTCGGCGTCTACGGCAACCTCCTGCACCTCACCCTCGACAATTACCAACCTCGCAAAATCTCGCACACCGACTGCGAAGCCCTAAGACACGTCTTCGTCGCCGGGACGGTGGGGGGCTTCTTCCAGGCGATCTTCGTGTGTCCTGCTGAACTGATCAAGACGCTGATGCAGATCAGGACGGGGGGCGGGGGCTCCTGGCGGAGGCACTCCGAGGTGGCTTACAGCGGGTCCATCGACGCCTTCTTCGGGATTGTGCGGGACAGGGGGGTTCGGGGGCTCTTCAGGGGGTTTGTCCCCATGGCAATCAGGTGGTTGTGGTTTTTATTTTATTTAAGTTGGCAAACATGCACAAATTCAAACAATCCTAACCTCAATCTTTCCGAAAAATTATTTTTTCAAGTAAATGTGCCCCCCAAGTAGGAAAAAATCATTAAAATTAACAACGCAATTAACAAACGTGCAGATTTTTCTCATTTTTGATGTGATTTAAATTTGTTTTGAGTGACATTAATGACACTTAGTGTGTGAATCGGCCTTTAAATTAAAGAGGCGTTTAGAGTTTTATAACCTAAAAAATATATTTTAATAATAAATAATTGGGATTTTTTTTTCAGGGATGTCCCCACTAGTGGGTTATATACTATGACCTACGAAGCCCTAAACTCGTACTTTGAGCAATGTCATGTGCCCCTGATGCTGAAACAGACCATTGCTGGGGGCGCAGCAGGGGTGGCGTCTTGGATCTTTGTGATTCCTTTTGATGTGGTGAAGTCCCGGATTCAGGCCGATAGCTACAATCACCCTGTATATAATGGAATGTTGGATTGTTTCTACAAGTCGTATCAGAAGGACGGTTTAGGGATTTTTTTCAAGGGGGCTCCTGCGATTATGTTGAGGACTTTTCCGGTGAATGCGGCACTGTTTGTGGGTTATGAGGCTGTGTTAAGACATCTGGAATAAATCACACGTGACTTACCGTAATTTTTTTTAATGTGAAATAAGGGAAATTCAAAAGGGCGGATTTTGGCCCTTATCTCGAAAACCATTACTGATAAGGGAAAACTGATTACGTAGTTGGAATCCTTGGGCGATTTTACATAAAGAAACTCTGGTTTTGATTCAATATAGTAATTTTTGTGGCCTTGGAAAATTATAATTCAAACATTTGACGACTTTTACGAAAGATCAAACATTTTGGTCAAAATTTCAAAAACTGTTAATAATAATTAAAAATTA